ATAAAAAACAGTGGGTCTCCCCTTTGGGGCGGAGAGAAAACTGCCATGGCTAAGGGGGGACCTTCTGTCCTTTTAGGGAACGGGTTTCCCGCTCGTTTTAAAACCTGACAAAAGGCGAGAGTACAAGGGGGAGCCTCATGACAGTTAAGGCAAGAGGGAGATCGATTGCAAGACGTATTAGAATGGTCATCGGGACCACAACTGGGCATTCGGCGATAGATCTGCAATATTTCGCTGGATGGCCAAATCGCCGCAATTTTACCGTTGTGGGGTGGGGGTCACCTTTCGAACTGTAACCGATGTCCTGCTATATAAACGGGGGGATGGGATTCTCGGGGTGTCAAAAGTTAAACGAGCCACATTTCAGGGGTTTTCTCCCCCCCACGGGGAGGAAGAAAGAAAATGTCTACCTTGAGATTGGGAGTCTGGAGTTTTCCCCGTTCTAGAATGTCGGGGGGGCCACAGTCTGGAAATTTTTTTGAACTATGGGGATGGGGCAGAAAAAAACGGTACCCCTAAAGAATTGAGGGAATGATGTTTTTTTAAGGGTGACAGGAACAGTATCTATATGGGAAAGACGAAGAGCCCCGACCCGGGTAGCATTCTGTACGGTAAAAGATGCGGGTACCGCTCTTAAGACATGAAAAGAAATATCTTTCCAAAATGGCGTAGGAGGGCCCTTTCCAATACTATGGTCAGAAAGATAGCAAGAGGGAAATTGGTCGTAAAGGAAGAATTTATCCACTGTTCAGTCTGAAACTAGCGGGAAAGGTAGTGAAAGGACGTGTCGATCTTTCTGAGAAGAACGAGAAGGTGAAGTGGGAAGTTCCAGCAGGTAAATTGTCGTTTACGTTTAGGCGTGGGGCCCGAGTTGGTCCCACGGGAACGGGTCGGCGATTTGAAAATTGCCGCCCGTAAAAGGGGGAAGGGCCCCCCCCCCCCCCCCCAAGCATAGTCAGAGGAGAGCGAAAAGGTCTGATAAATCGAAGGAGTCAGTCGAGGCCCAGTACCTGAAGGGGTGAGGAAACAGCACCGGGAATAGGTACAGAGGCTGAGGAAAGTCTGAAAAAGTGGGCCCCCAAAAACGAGGCGGGGGCAGAACGGGGGCGGTACAAGAAGGGGCCCGGGGGTACCAGGTTCGGACAGGGTGCCATGGTTGGTTACTTTTTTCTTTTTGGTTTTTTTAAAAAAAAAAAGAAAAAAAAGAAAATAAAAATAAAAAAAAAAAGAAAAAAAAAGGGGGGGGGCCCCGGGGAGGGATAGTTCCTAGGAGGAATGAAAGGGCCCAAAAATCCCCTCCCCCCCCAAGAGGACTCGACACCGCTAGTAGCGCAGATGCGCATGGAACCCGTGCCATACCCTACCCTTCATGCCAGAAAACCCCATCTGGGATAGCAACCTCACATCTGCCCAGCTACCCCGGTGGACAAAAAAGGCGGCCGGGTACCGCCCAAAAATACCTCCTTCAGCCACCCCCCCCGGGAAACCAAAGGTGGCTCCAAGTACAACCCCCTCCCCCCAAAAAACACCCAAACTATCCGGGTCCGAGAGGATCGGGAATCCCTAGGCAATCCAGATTCCCCCGGCAAACTACGCCACCGCCAAAAACCTCAAGGGAAGGGATGGACCCCGGGGTCCTTTCCCCCACCTAGGAACTAGCGCGCCCGTGGGAAATCACGAAGGGTAAAAAGAGGAAGGGCAAAAGGGGGGGGGGTGAGGAAGGGGGAGGAGGAATGGAAAAAGGGGGGATGGGGGGGGATGGGGTAGGGGGGGGGAGAATGGGGGGGAATTAGGTTTGGCGAGGAAGAAACCCAGGGCTAAATTCCCGACCCAAAACCCCTTCCCAGCCAAGGAGCCCCCCTTGAAAAGGTCCATCTGCCGAGTACCTCGGGTGGACAAAAAGAGGGGGGCCGGGTATCCCCCACAAAGCATACCTCCTTCAGCCACCACCCCCCGGAAACCAAAAGGGGGCTTCCAAGATACAACCCTCGCCCAAAAGACACCCAAACACTCCGGGGTACCGGGGGAGGGATCGGGACTCCCTGGCAATCCCGATTCCAGGGAAACTACCCCCCCGGGCCCAAAAAACCTCAAAGGAAGGGATCGACCCCGGTGTCCTTTCCCCCTACCAGGAACTAGCGTCCTGTGGGAGAAACCCAAAGGACAAAAAAAGAGGAAGGGAAAAGGGAGGGGTGGGGGGGGAGGAGGAAAAGGAAAAAGGGGAGGATGGGGAGGTGGGATAGGGGAGGGGAGATTGGGGGGTAATTTTGGGTTTGGTCTGAGGGAAAAAGGGCCCATGGTCAATTCCTCAACCAAGAGCTCTTCACCACGCCAAGGACCCCCCCTTAAGGGCAGCAATTAATAATAAAAAAAAAAAAACTAAACCCACAAAGGGTGGGGAGGGGGGATCATAAAGAGCCTGGGAAATGGAAGGCAATCAGGTTTTTTTCAAGGGAAAAAAGGCACGCTCAATTTTCCCTTAAAAGACAACCCCCCGCTTATCAAGAACCCTTCCTTTGAGGGGAAAAATTTACAGAAGGAACTCTCAAAAGGACTTTGTAGCACAGGGCAGAAATACATTCCTCTAAATTATTATAGGAAAAAAATACTTCAGAAAATGTTAAAAAAATCAATAATTTTGAAAATACAGCTTTTAAAAACCTTATTTACCCATTTACATATATCCCCAATCTTTTTTTACAAACCCGCATTTCAATTTTTATGACAAATGTATTACTGTATAGAATTTTGTAAAAAGGCTTATAACAAATTAAGAAATTTTCTTTTATTCAAAAGTCTTAAATATTACTATACACACATCCCAGATTTCCTGAGCAAAAATAAAAATAATTTTAATCATGTTCGTTAAATTTCCTCTTTTAAGGGGTGGTTTAACCACAATAAATAATCTTTTTGCGCTGGGAAAATAAGGAAGTTCGGGGGCAGTAATTTTTTTTAAATTATTTTTTTCCCAAAAAAAAAAAAACACTTTAAAGATTGCAAATTTTTTATGCATAGTACAAAACTGGCTGTCAAAAGGACTGGGTAAGAAGGAACCTGGTTGAGTGGGGGAGTCAAAAGAATGGTTGGAGTTTGTAACAGGTTGTATATCTAATTGGCTCTCTTCTTTCAGAAAGAGCCAAAAAAAATATACAACAGTGCCCACATCCCGCATTAAAAAATCATAATTTATTTTTCTTGCCTACGTGTCAACACCATTTATATCATGACAAATTTTTTCAACAAACTTATTTGAAAGACACGACCTGTACATAATGCAAAAAATGAATATAAGTAATTATTTTAAAATTTTTTCCCTCGGTAAGTGACAAAAAAAAAAAATAGACAAAAAGAATGGAAAGAGAAAATGGTTAGGGGAAACATGGAAATTAAAGTGTCTCCACAAATTTTATGATTAAAAAAATTTGGGAAAGGGGGTGGCAGCAACCAAGTTGCAATGCCAGCAAAAAATACGGAAAAATAAATCAAGGCCCTTATATAGTAGTACTTACAAGAGGTCCATCAAGATATTTGTTTTTTAAAACAGCGTAGGATAAGTACTAGCTAAGAAAAGAAAGGCCCCTTAAAATAAAATTTGCCGTACCAGTTATAGGAGGAAAAATTCGATGCAAGGAAAATGGGGTACATTTATACTGAATTTTAAAATTTCCCCTAATCAATTTTCCCCCAATTCAAATAAGTCTTTTTGTCCTCTTTTTTTTTTTTTTTTAAAATTTTGGTTAGATAAATACCTTGTGTTAGAAAGGAAAATACAGATTTTGTTGCAATAAAAGAAAGATCTTTTTTAAAAGGCGAGAAAAAACAAACATGTCAAAAAATAAAGTCATTGCACATGGAAATTAAAAATCGATTCAAGTTATAATTACCAGTGCAAACTAACATTTGCTTTACTCAGTGAAATATATAAATTATTTTTTAAAACTTGCTGGGAAAAGAATACGATATCCCCAAAAAAATTACAGTATGTAACCTCACAGTATAAATTTAGGCTTAGTGTAGAAATGCCTATTTTCTTCATTTAAGTGGTTTTTTTTACCCTTTTTTAATACTAGTATGAATGAGATTGTCTCTCAAAATTTTTTAAACCTGATGCATTCATTAAAATTTTTAAATTTATATCAGGAGTCCCAAGCACTGCAAAAATTTTTACTGGTTGGTATTAAAACAACCGAACTTGCTGCAAACACTGTAATCTTATAGAACTTAAATGACATTAGAGTGCACCTAGCACAAAGACAGAGCAATAAATTCTTTGAAATTCTTTCAATGTACCACAGTAAATACAAGACAAATCTAACATGCCGCATAAATATCTAGGACCTTAATCATAATCACTGGGGTTTTATGTAACTGCTACCTAGGATCCTCAAATGTTCCACATAAATACGATAATATAAGGTATTGCCTATAGTACAAGCAAACTAAACATCCTATAGTTAAAAAAATGCCTTAAACTATACAATATTTATGTACTATGCAGAAAATAGTCTTGGACAAATTGTATTTTAAGACTTGCTTATCAAATCTCATATGCTGAGTTTACCCTTACAATTCATATTTAAGTTGCCTGAAGGAAAATTAATTCTTCCGGTGACTAGGGGTCTATCTGACAAAAACTCAAAATTTAACTCGTGCTATAGACCTTAACCCATAGTAGCATAACACCGAGATGTACTCTTGATGGCTAAGTAACACTTGAGTATTTCTTGCAGGCAACAGCTGTACAAAAATAAAAGCATGCAAGTTTGAATAAAATGTTTTTACCATTTTATTAACATTAAACTACTACATTTGTTATCCCTCTGTTGTGAGGATGCCTTTCTGTTAACATATTGTATATAAAATACAGTAAGAGATAAAATATCTATTCAAGTTCCATTAAGTTAAACAGGCAATATTAGAGATCCTTAATCTCTCTTATTTGACAAAATTTACTCAAGTTCAAAAGGAAAAGGAAATCTCAAATTTTGTCCAAAATACACAAATGTAATGTCTTCTCATTTCAATTACACCAAAAGAAATAAGCAAAGTTCATGAGCCAAAGTACTAAGATAAAATTACACCTATCAAATACTTGTCCTTAAATTTACTAGTCAGCATCTAACACCAGACATTACAGCACAACCGGGACTTCAACTTCACATTGTATTTCAAATGTGAACTACTCTTGGGAATTTTTGAACAGTGAATACTGTACATGCCATTATTTTATATACAGTACCTTCCAGAATCATAATTAAAAGTTGATTTCTGAAAACCTGTTTTTTTTTTTTTATAAAATCAAATAATACAAATTTTAAGATGACAATTTCCATACGTAAAACAAACCATACAAATCAAAATCTGGAAACCTACAAGAAATAGGACAATCTGGAAAAAGGAATGAACAATACAATTTACTTGAGGATTCTCATACTTTTTGAAGTTAAAAACCATTAAAAAATAATAAACCAATCCTCTTCACATGCTAAAGGTGACTTTGAAGGTAACGAAGGCCCTTAGATGGTGATCATTTCAGCAATGATAATGCAAATAAAACTTAAATTCAGCTTATACTACAAATAAAATTTTAATTCAATGTCTTCAATGTATTTAGATTTTTTTCTTCAAACATGACAGCCAACATACACACCAACATGAACAAGCAGAAAGAAGCTACACTACCTGGATATTGTTTTCACTCTTGCATCATTGTCACTCTTATTGCTCATAAAAAAAAAAATCTACTTCATCAACTCTGCCAATTTCTGAAGGCCACATACCAAAATAACCATAAGCAGTCAACATTTGTAAAGAAATATGACTTTGGATATTTTTTACAATGGGGAAAAAATGACTGAGTACTCATAAAAATTGCAAGTAAAAAAATTTCTTTAAAAATAATCACGTCTACCGGTGACTTAATGCTATTAATTTCATATATTATAGGCATTACAATATACTGCATCCATAAATGACATTTTTATAACCCAATATAGTAATTAACAAAAGCTGCTTTATGACGAGTATCATCCACAGTTAACAGATTTTCCCTCTTTCCACACCCTTAAGTGAATTTTTCCATTATGAACTCTTCTTATCTCCATTAGTGTGGTGAACAAGAGTTGGGGTTTCTGCTGGTCGGGTGAAGTTCTTCCCTGGGATAAACTCGGCAGCATAAGGGTTCAAGGTACTCTGGAATACGAAATTCATTGTATGCATAACTTAAGTCTGTCACATTCATGCGGTGGAAGCACCTTCCTAACAATGACTGAAGGAAAAGGTTACAAAGATGATATCATACAATAACTACTTTATGAAGGAATTTCAATGCATTACACAAAGTTATTACAATAAGGCAACTCATTTTAGAATTCCACATTTTCACAAGAACCAGTTAAGCTAAATACAATACAGTACCGAGATACACAATTTCATATTAACCCTTAAACGGTCCAAAGAGATTGACGTTCAAATTCGTAGTGATACAAAAGTAGATCTACTTTTTTTTTACATATTTTCAAATACTATAACAAAAAAATGTAGATAAAAGTTTTTTTACACGCTTTCAAATGTAAAACAAAAAAGAAGATCTACATTTTTTACATACTTTCAGATGTTGAAAAAACGTATATATACGTTTGGACCATTTAAGGGTTAAATAAAAATATATACTAAGAAAATTCTGTCTTAAGAAATCTAAACCTAAGCACCAGATATACAGTGGACCCCCACCTTACGAACGCATCACGTTACGTTAAATCCGCCATACGAAGCATTTGAACGCAAAAATTTTGCCTCGCCTCACGATAAAAAACTCGCCTTACGTGATTCGTCCGGGATGCATCCCACATGTGGCCTCAGCACCAGTGTTTACAAGTCAGCCAGTGCGGTCACATCTACGCATACACTCGGTACATTTCACATTATCCCAGTGTTTTTAGTGCTTGTAACTGCAAAATAAGTCACCATGGACCCCATGAAAGCTTCTAGTGCCATCCCTGTGGTAAAAAGGGCGAGAATTAGTATGGAATTGAAAAAAAGAGATTAAGGAAATGTGTGCAAAGTGGGTTCAACTGCAAACCTTTAAGGATGAAAATCACCCTGACACAGCTACTGCAAGCAGTGTTGGCAACCTGTACAATGACAATGTTATGGCCCATTTTAGGAAAGTCTTGAAGGAACGGGAGGTACAGAGCTCTATGGACAAATTTGTTGTGCGACAGAGGTCCAGTGACTCTGGAGCTGGTCCTAGTGGCATTAAAAGAAGGGAAGTAACCCCAGAAAAGGATTTGCTACCTCAAGTCCTAATGGAAGGGGATTCCCCTTCTAAACAATAACTTCCACACTCTCCCTTCCTCCCATCCCATCAATCATCACTAGATCTTCAATATAGGTAAGTGTCATGTATTCTATTCTTAATAGAGTAGTAATTGTGCATGTCTTCTTCAGTTTGTGTGTATTAAAATTAATATTTCATATCATAAAAAAAATTTTTTCATACTTTGGGGTGTCAGGAATGGATTAATTTGATTTCCATTATTTCTTATGGGGAAAATTAATTCAGCTAATGATAATTTCAGCTTACGATGAGCTCTCAGGAACGGATTAATATCATAAGGCGGGGGTCCACTGTATTTCGTAAGCAACTTGATTATTTTGTTGTTAAACCTACTTCTTATATCATTTGTGGATGACTAATAGCAACAGACTGAAGACTGATCCTTATACAATACCACTTGTTATACTTGCCTATTCTGATAATACTCCATTATTGCAACTCTGTGCCCTTGGACATCACAATATAAAGTCTAGAATTTCTATCATATACACTTTCTGGTATTCTTATTAAATGGCATTACTGTTAGCAGACTGACAAGTACAATAATTAACAGTAATATACAACACTTACCTTAGCAGCTACAGTTTCATTTACTCCCATTTTCTGCATACTTGAAGCTAAACTAGATGTAGCATCATTTCTCATTCTGGAAAATAAGAATACAAACAAGAAAGTTTACAAAATTGCTTGGGTTGCCTACAGACATGTGGAGTTGAAGCCAAAGTATGATTAAAACTGCGGCAGTTACAAGTATGTACTAACAGAGTACCATAATAAATGGAACGCAGATGTGGCTGGTGCACTTCACTGCAAGATTTGAGGAGAAAATAACTAAGTAATTATAATCAGTGAGGTTAATGAAAGCTAACACAAGAAGAAATGGTAATGGAGGACTAAAAGAGCATACAAGAAGAGTTACAATAAGAAAAACAGGGAAAATATAAAGAAACGAGTGAGGTGGAATACACGAGCAAGTACAGGTCTCTCTCAACATTCGCGAGGGTTAGGGAATCAAGAGCCTCGCGAATGTTGAAAAACCGTGAATGTTTGGTGCCCCAATATATTGTAGGGAAATATATTACAATACTGCTTCCTTAACTTGTCGAACCATGAATAATCATAAAATACATGAAAACGTCATAAATTGTACTAAATATATACATGTTATGCTTTAGTAACGTATGTTATTTAATAACATGTTAATAACATGTATGTTATTAAATACCACAGACTCCACCACTGCCTCCACCATTGCGAGTCCCTACTACCCTCCCTCCGACCCCCGCAACTGGCAGCCAGCCCTCCCACCACTTAGTGTGGCGAGTGTTTTGTTTGTTCATTATTTGCTATTAAACTACAGAATAAATAATGTAAACCCATTCATGACTGCATATTGGAATGGCTATTCGGACAGGTATTAAACGGTGACATCATGTGTTTACTCTTGAACACAGCAAAGAATCGAACATTTCTGCTATTGCTAATAATAACAATAGTAGTAATAATAATAATAATAATAATAAAAATAGTAACAATAATATAATAATAATAATAATATAATAATATAATAATAATATAATATATAATAATAATATATATGACATAACTGAAGAAGGAAATTGTACAAAAATACGAGGGAGTGGTTGACACATCGTCAGTGTGACTTTGCTATGCTGGAGTGAACATTAGTCTCCCTGCTCTTCCAAACATTTCACAATAATTCAGTGGTTGAGGCAGTGGTATTTAATAACATATATGTTACAAATAATAATAGTACTTGTTATTATTAATAACATGTATTATTATTAACATGTATGTTATTAAATACCATTGCCTCAATCATCACTGCCTCTACCACTCCAGTCACACTCAATCTACAAGCACCAAACACAATGAATTATTGTGAAATGTTTGGAAGAGCAGGGAGACTAATGTTCACTCCAGCATAAACAAAGTCACACTGACGATGTGTCAACCACTCCCTCGTATTTTTGTACAATTTCCTTCAATTATATCATATTTATTATTATTATTTTTATTATTATTATTATTACTATTGTTATTATTAGCTGTAGCAGAAATGTTTAATTCTTTGCAGTGTTCAAGAGTAAACACATGATGTCACCGTTTAATACCTGTCCGAATAGCCATTCCAATACGCAGTCATGAATGGGTTTACATTATTTATTCTGTAGTTTAAAAGCAAATAATGAACAAACAAAACACTCGCCACACTGAGTGGTGGGAGGGCTGGCTGCCAGTTGCGGGGGTCGGAGGGAGGGTAGTAGGGACTCGCAGGTGGTGGGAAACTTAAATATGATTTGGAGCTGGGAATTTGGTGGCTGGGAATTTGGCGGTTGGGAATTCGCGAATGTGTGAAGCCCGTGAAAGTTGAAAACGTGAATGTTGAGGGAGACCTGTACAGTATATCAGGAGTGCCTAGTAGTTACTGACAATGGCATTCAAGGATTGCTAGGCTCAATACAAAATAAAAGAAAATGGTATAAAAACTTAGGTATGGTATACATCAACAGTAAATCTTTTCAATATAATCCTTTCTACTATATGTAAATCAAGCAGAATTTTTGTAAACACTATTACAACAAACCATACCCCGGCCAGGATTGAACCCGCGGTCATAGAGTCTCAAAACTCCAGCCCGTCGCGTTTTGAGACTATGACCGCGGGTTCAATCCCGGCCGGGGTATGGTTTGTTTGCAATCGTGTCATTACGATTTCGTGAGTCACTATTACAACAAATTTCTTGGCATTCATCAATCCCAATTTTCCTTTCACATCATTACATGATTAGTTACCCTTCTAGCTTTATTCTTAGTGCACTGTGTATATTCTCTCTGAATATCAAGAGACCTAACTTAAAACACTGCTGAGTATTAAGATACTGTAACTGGTTCAAGAGTCTTTTTTTTCAGAAAGTACATGTATCACAAAAAATACAACACTACATTGTACACAAATGTATATATAAAAAATTTTTTTAGCACTGCCCTCTCCCACCAGGTTAGGATTACCCAGGAAAAGAGTAAATGCTCACCACCATTCATTCAACAACTGTCTTGCCAGTGTACAGATGTTGCAATTCAAACAGCCCTCCGAACTATAACATTCTCACCACTCCATCAGAACACAAACACAGTATTTCCCACCTCCAGAACCAAAGTCGGCTAAAGGCTTTCTCGAGTACCTTCATATATGCTATCTTGTTCAGTCCAACAGCATGTCAGATTCCTAAAACCACTTGTCACTGCTAGATGCTCAATTAAAACCTTCATATCCTCTCTCCAGCACTTCCTGGAAAGACCCCTAGCTATCTTTTCCTCTACCCAAGATTTATATACCCTCTTGGTCATCCCTTCTGCTCCGTCAACAACAACCCATCATCTAACTTTTCTAACTCCACACCATGTTCTAACGCCTATGCTTTGAATTCTTTCCATAAAATTTACACCACACACTGCTCTCAAACATGACACCTCCAACCTCCTCCTTACTGCAACATTTAACCCTTTGAGGGGTTCAAGCCATAGTTCTATGCCATGTCCACAGGGCCCAAGCTGTAGTTCTGTCATGAGCTCAGCTCACTCAAATAAGCTGTAAGTGGTAAATTCAGGTCTAGCTATAAAAGAATGGATCTATGTGGTAAGTGTGAACCACATAAAATAAATCCTGTAGCACGCAGTGCACAACGAGAAAAAAAAATGCGACCATGTTATTGGATTAAAACAGCGACTTTGTGGTTTCTTGGTCATTTGATAGAATGGAAGATATATTACAGAAATGGAGACGATTTTGATAGGCTTTAGCACTGAAATTGACCTCAAAGTAACGGAAATGTTCGATTTTTGCCAGTGCTCAAAAGTAAACAAATGACAGTCATGCGTCCAATACACATCAACTGGTGGGTGTAATATACATTCACAAAAGTGCTGATGTTATTTATAAAATTATTACAATATTGCATAACAGTAAATCATCTATTTTTTGGTGTGAATAAAAATTCTTTAAAAAATAAAGATGGAATTCATCTGTAAAGCTTGGAAACATAACTAATAAACAAAGGAAATGTCGTCTTAGTGCCAGGAATTCCTGCACTGTTTATTCTGGACCCTAATTTGAAATTGGAATATTTTTAACTATGTGAAATTGGCCAAATTACTAATTTGTGCTCAATCGATAAAATAAAAAATACTAGTGAAATAGCTAAGAATTTGGTCGACTGGAATAATGTAATTGACCTAAAATAGGAGTCAAAGTGGGCAAAATCGTCAATGTGTAAATATCGCTGACGCAGTAAAAATCGTGATAATGTAATTTTATAAATTTTCCGTCAAATTTCTTACTTTTTCTTTTATTACCTTCAGAAAAAGATTTTCTGCCATTTCATGAGAAAAAAATAACTTTTTTTATTTTTTTTTTAAAGTCTTGGACCCTGTGGACACGGGACAGAACTATGGATTGGATCCTCAATGGGTTAAAGCCCTTTCCTCACACCCACATAAAAGATATACCACTAGACTTGCACATTCATCATTCTGCCTCCAAAGATAAACTTTCCTCTCCACAGATGCCTCAACACACCACCTACCTTTTTCCCTTTATCTATTCTATGCTTCACCTCGTCTTTCATAGACCCATTTGCCGATACGTCCACTCCCAAATCTCTAAATACATTTACTTCCTCCATATGAAGTGGGAGTTGTCACAGTTGCTCTTTGATGACAGTTCTTTGGGGAGATTCTGAAGAGAATTTTAAAGGTTGGTGGATGAATTTCAGAAGGGTTGTATTAAAGGAGGAAATTAATAGTAAGCACAGGAAAGAGCAATATGATGAGAGTAACAAATTTTAGGCAATGAAAAAATGGGTATGTGAAAATTTATATGTACATAATATATAAGCAAACTATAATATACACTGTACAATACAATACACATTTATGCACACCGTACCTATACGAGTACAGTACATATAGTATACAAACGGGGCCAGTCAAAACTCAACCCCATGCAGACTTTGCAAAGAAAATAGACAAAAATTCCATTTTATTTTGCTATACAAACATCATATTTACCCCTTTATTAGATTTACTGTCACTTGCAGGGAACAAGTTTGTGCAACTTCCACACTCATTCCAAGTATAAGAACGTTAAATCGTTCACTCAACAGTCTCGCACCATGTCCAATCTGAGTATTTTCTTGATCATCAAGACTCACAATCTGCCTTAATCCAACTTCCAATATTACTAGCAATCCTTTTGGGTGCCAGGATCAAAAATGATGAGAAGGGGAAAAATAAAGTAAAAATAGAATAGACAAGAAACTACAGACTTTAGCAACTGGAGCAGATGACTGTAGCAGCTGGTACAGATGACTGTGTGTAAGGGGATGACTTCTATGAATTGCAACACAGCCTCACTTGGGCAGCATGCATAATCTGAATATTTTTTTTTTACCCAACCTCAGATGAGTTATGAAATTTCTGTGCAATAAAATTGGAGGGTTCCAAGCAGAAACTACTACAAAAAACATGCTGTACAAGATGCTACTGTATATTACAAGACTGAGGATTTTGCTCAGATGGCCCCCAAGAAAGAAAATTTATAGAGATAAGCTATTATTTCAAAACATTAACAGTCTTAGCATTGCCATGTTTTCCATACTTAGAAAACAATGAATTTTAATAGTAAAAAGGCAGACTGTGCACACTACTCACTTCTCCTGCTGGTACTGATGGTAGTAGACAGTGTCACGTTGCTCTTCCTCCTCCAACATGCGACGGAGGAATTCTTCCTCGTCCTCCCTCAGGGTACTTGACTGTTCCATCATTACTTGGTTCACCTCACAGATCACCTATGTGATATGCATACATAAATCGTGATAACCAATGAGAAAATAAATACTGTGCCATCCCACTTACAGCACACCAAAAGGACTGCTTTTTATACCAGTTCTCCAAAATCAGCTTTTTTACATCTTTTAAAAATTACAAAAGTGACAACAGCAACTTTCTTAACTTTCAAACCTCACATATCATATTTTCCGACATGCAAGGCACACTTTTTCCCCCACAAAAAGTCTAGGAAAATCACCCTGCACCTTATATGCTCAAGGTCAGGGTCATGGGTAGGCTTTGGGTTACGCTATAGCAGTTGTTTACTAACATTATGTTATAGCTGATTGGAAACATTGTCTGTCTCATATGACCATGTGCCGTATATGCCATAAAATACAGTAAATAAAAGACTCGACTCTTTTCCAAACATTATCTCTTAATCATTTTTAACAATAAACCACAATGAGCCTTCTCAGAGTTTCTGTTTAAACAATATTACCATAACATCCCTCATTATAAACAATTCACACAATTACATTTATCAAAGTCTTCGATTATAATCTAAGACTGATAAAATGTAATTGGACACCGTAATAATTATTATGGGTCCATCAATTTTGTATTTATCCTGTACAGTCTGTAACCATTGTTGCAATAAAAGGTTTTCCTGCTACCAGTGTATTTACAGTTGTTGGGTCATACTACTAGTGACCAAAGTGATTTATTATATTCATGGCGAAATGCTAAACCCACAGGAGTCATACAGCAGGTAACCAGGTGTGTTCCAAGGAAGAGTACAGGTGGGCCCTGCTTTACAGTGCTTTACTTGACAGCATATTGCTAATACAGCGGTTTTCAATTATACCCAATCTTTATTTATTCAGACTTCCTACAATAAATACATTCACCACCAACTAAAAGCCAAGTACAAAAATATATTACGGAAAGTAATGTGTGTACTGTATATGCATTTTTAGGCCTAACTATATTGCTCATTTAATATAGGATCATGTAAACATGTTATCAGGCTTTTTATATGCATTGACAGTGAAAAAGGCTACGATTCACTTTACAGCCATTTTTGCTTTACAGCAGTAGCCTGGAACCTAATCTACTGTATAAGCAGGACCTTCCTGTAGCTCCAATTCATTTGATCAGCATGAAAGCCCCTACACTGAAGGGTAACAAAGTAACTTTTACCTTACATTTTTGTCATCTGGGTTAAACATAACCCTGCACTTCTACATTTATAATTCTTTTACTCACAAATACAAAACACTTTACTAACCTTTAATTTTGTAATTTAAAAGTCGAATTTCCTACCTAATAATGTTTTTCCTGTGTTTAACCCTTTTCCTGTTTTGGCCGTATATACACGTCTCATGAACAAGTGTTTCGGACGTATATATACTCAATAATTTTAGTGGCTTCAAATCAAGGAGAAAGCAGGTAGGCCTACATGTGAGAGTATGGGTCTGTAAAAAAAATCCTGCAGCACGCAGTGCATGAGAAAAAAAAAAACTCCGACTGGGTTTTTGGATTAAAACACTGAATTTGAGGTGTATTTTCGCATAGCGTTTATGGTTGTATTCTTGTTTTCTTGGTCTCATTTGATAGAAATTGAACGGAAATGTTCGATTTTTACCAATGTTCAAGATTAAGTAAATCACACCACATGTCCAATACACGTCAACTGGGAAGTCGTATTCTTTCACTAGTGCACTGACATTATTTATACCATTTTTACAATAATGCGGTAGTCTGCATAACAGTAAATATTCTATTCTTTGTGTGAATAAAATATTAAAATAGAAAGCAAGAGTAATATAAGAGGGGCCTAGAGACGTGACTAATGAATTGAGGATATGTTATTTTAGTGCCAAGAATGACTGCACTGTTTATTTTGGACCCTATTTTGAAATTGGCATCTTTTTTAATTTGCAAGAAATTGGCCAAATTGCCAGTTTCTGACCACTTTATTGGGTAGTTGAAATCGGTAAATGGGTGGTTTCTTGAAGTAAAAAATGAAGTTCTAAAGAAAATAGCTATGAGTTTGGTCAACTGGAACAATAGAATTGGCCGAAAATAGGGCTCAAATTCAGCGAAATTACCGATGTGTATATATCGCTAAGATTGGAAAAAGATTCTATCATTTCGTAAGAATTTTTTTTTTTTCCAAAAATTTTGCAACAGAATGAGTTTCAGAAATGGGCTTGCGACAGTCAAAGGGTTAATATTGTTTGTTCTGCTGGTGAAGTTATACACTATGTTACATATTTGCTCAATGGCTTTCAAACATACTACTAAACTACTAGACTAATTGTTGTCAAAATGCCCATCATAAAATGGGCTCTGCAAAGTGTTACAATGTGCTATGCCTACATTGTTCCCTTAGCCTTGTATGTAATTTTTTATAAATAAATAAATAAATATATATATCTTTCTTTCTTTCAACACACCGGCCATATCCCACTGAGGCGGGGTGGCCCATAAGGAAAAATGAAATTTTCTCCTTTTACATTTAGTAATATATACAGGAGAAGGGGTTACTAGCCCCTTGCTCCCGGCATTTTAGTCACCTCTTGTATTTGATTTCCAATATTTTAATACCACCCCTCTCCCCAACACCCTGCATTTACTTCTTTTACAACCCCATCTATAAATATATTAAACAACCATGGTGACATTACACATCCCTGTCTAAGACCTACTTTTACTGGGAAGTAGTCTCCCTCTCTTCTACACACCCTAACCTGAGCCTCACTATCCTCATAAAAACTCTTTACAACATTTAGTAACTTACCACCTATTCCATATACCTTTTCTAAATCCATAAATGCAATAAAAACTTCCCTACCTTTATCTAAATACTGTTCACATATATTCTTCAATGTAAACACTTGATCCCCTACCCACTCTAAAGCCTCCTTGCTCATCCGCAATCCTACATTCTGTCTTAGCTCTAATTCTTTCAATTATAACTTTTCCTGGTATACTCAGTAAACTTATTCCTCTATAATTTTTACAATCTCTTTTGTCCCCCTTCCCTTTACATAAACGGACTATACATGCTCTCCGCCAATCCCTAGGTACCTTCCCCTCTTTCATACATCTATTAAACAAAAATACCAACCACTCCGACACTAGACACTATATCCCCCCTGCTTTTAACATTTCTGTCATGATCCCATCAGTTCCAGCTGCTTTACCCCCTTTCATTCTACGTAATGCCTCATGCACCTCCCCCACACTCACATCCTGTTCTTCACTCCTAAAAGATGGTATACCTCCCTGGCCAATGCATGAAATTACCACCTCCCTCTCTTCGTCGACATTTAAAAGTTCCTCAAAATATTCTCGCCATCTACTCAAAACCTCCATCTCCCCATCTAATAACTCCCCTACTCAGTTTTTAACTGACAAATCCATTCGTTCCCTAGGCTTTCTTAACTTATTTAACCCATAAACGGTCCAAGCATATCTACGTTCACATGTGTAGTGCTACAAAAGAAGATCTAAGTTTTTTTTACACATTTTCAAATACAGTGGACCTCCGCATAACGATCACCTCCGAATGCGACCAATTACCTAAGTGTATTTATGTAAGTGCATTTGTACGTGTATGTTTGGGGGTCTGAAATGAACTAATCTACTTCACAATATTCCTTATGGGAACAAATTCGGTCAGTACTGGCACCTGAACATACTTCTGGAGTGAAAAAATATCGTTAACCGGGGGTCCACTGTATAACAAAAAAAAAAAAACATATGCAACAGTTAGGTATCTTTATTTCGAAACGTTTCGTTTACACAGTAGGCTTCTTCAGTCGAGTACAGAAAAGTTGATAGAAGCAGAAGAGACTTGAAGACGATGTAATCAGTCCATCACCCTTAAAGTTTTGAGGTGGTCAGTCCCTCAGTCTGGAGAAGAGCATTGTTCCATAGTCTGAAACAATATGGAGTTGAAGTGACAGGATGGAGCCTTATATAGCGCCAGGAGGTGAGACGTAGGTCACTAGTAGAACGCAAATGTTGGGAGGTCAGGTCCCTCTCAAATCCAGCCGTTCTCACTAGTAGAGGTTGTCGAAGTTGATTCCAGGTCTGTACCAAGATACCCTTGGGTTGCCGTGTCTGACAGATTGAACATTAAAATGGTATAAAATACCGACAGGTTGTTAGGTAAGACACATATGCAACAGTTAGGTATCGAAATAAAGATACCTAACTGTTGCATGTGTCTTACCTAACAACCTGTCGGTATTTTATACCATTTTAATGTTCAATCTGTCAGACACTGCAACACAAGGGTATCTTGGTACAGACCTGGAATCAACTTTGACAACCTCTACTAGTGAGAACGGCTGGATTTGAGAGGGACCTGACCTCCCAACATTTGCGTTCTACTAGTGACCTACGTCTCACCTCCTGGCGCTATATAAGGCTCCATCCTGTCACTTCAACTCCATATTGTTTCAGACTATGGAACAATGCTCTTCTCCAGACTGAGGGACTGACCACCTCAAAACTTTAAGGGTGATGGACTGATTACATCGTCTTCAAGTCTCTTCTGCTTCTATCAACTTTTCTGTACTCGACTGAAGAAGCCTACTGTGTAAGCGAAACGTTTCGAAATAAAGATACCTAACTGTTGCATATGTGTCTTACCTAACAATCTGTCGGTATTTTATACCATTTTAATGTTCAACAAAAAAAAAAAGTAGATCAAAGTTTTTCTTACACATTTTCAAATGTAGAAAAACAAAAGAAGATCTACTTTTTTTACATACTTTCAAATGTTGAAAAAACGTATATATACGTTTGGACCGTTCACGGGTTAACTCACTCCAAATTTTTTTCTTATTTTCATTAAAATTTCTTGACAGTGCCTCTCCCACTCTATCATCTGCTCTCCTTTTGCACTCTCTCACCACTCTCTTCACCTTTCTTTTACTCACCATATACTCTACTCTTCTTATAACACTTCTGCTTTGTAAAAAAACTCTAAGCTAACTTCTTC